CACTCCGCGGCCGCCGTGATTGTTCGGCGCATCGCACGGATTTTTGCAGCTTCACTTCCGCGTTTTACCGCGTCCCCCATGCATGTTATTTAAAGGATCTGTGTCTTTTTAATGTCGCCCTTTAAGCTGCTTCGGGTATTTTGCATTGGCAGGTGCCCCCCCATGGCGGTGCCCGAGGGGCTGAAGGCAAGCACTGCGATAGCAATCCTATGTGGAAATAGCGCGTAGTTTCCCTTTAAGTCGGCTGCATGGAGGGTGTCATGTCATTTCTTTAATGTATCCGTCTCCGGCGTTGTTTTACCTGTCAGTCCGATGACTGCGTCTCCTCCTTCCTTGTCATCTCCTGAAATATGTGACTGTCCCCCCCCTCCCCCGTCCTGTCTTGTATATCATCTCTTCCAGGCGTTCGCCGCATCCCATTTTCTGCGTCTTTGCATGGGAATTCTCGCCCCTCCCGGGCTGTCGCACCGAGTTGATGGATCCGATACATTGTATATAAGGCAGGTGGTCACTGTTGCCACGGTAACCGTTGATACAATGTATCTGAGAACAATTGAGATCTGCTGCGTCATGATTTTTTTGTGCGCCCCCCCTCCTTCCTCCTCCCCTTCCCCCCCTTCCTCCTCCCTTCCCCCTCCCTCCTGCAGCTCAGAGACAGACGCACCACACAGGGGAGGAAATAGGGGCGAGAGAGAGAGAGAGACACCCAGGAAGAGAATAGGGGTCACTCAGAGACAGCCAGGCCTGTAGGGAATAAGAGACACTTGGGGCAAAAGGAGAGGCAGCTGGGAGCAGGAGGGGCAGCCAGGGCTAAGGGACAGCCATAGGGTGAGAGACATCAGAGACAATAGGAGGGACATCAGGGACAGCAAGAGAGACCTCTGGGTGCAGAGGGGACAAAGAGACAGCAAGGCTGAGGGACAGAAGGACCACAGAGGTACTTTTAGGGTTCAGAAAGAGAGACCTCAGAGTCAGAGAGACCTCAGAGTCAGAGAGACCTCAGAGTCAGAGAGACAGAGTTCAGAGAGACCTCAGAGTCATAGAGACAGAGTTCAGAGAGACCTCACAGTCAGAGAGACTTCGGAGTCACAGAGAGACCTCAGAGTCATAGAGACTTCGGAGTCACAGAGAGACCTCAGAGTTCAGAGAGAGACCTCAGAGTCATAGAGACAGAGTTCAGAGAGACCTCAGAGTCATAGAGACAGAGTTAGAGGGACCTCAGAGTCGTAGAGAGACCTCAGAGTTCAGAGAGACAGTTCAGAGAGACCTGAGAGTCATAGAGAGTACTCAGAGTCATAGAGACAGAGTTCAGAGAGACCTCAGAGTCATAGAGAGACCTCAGAGTTCAGAGAGACCAGAGAGTCATAGAGAGTACTCCGAGTCATAGAGACAGAGTTCGGGGAGACCTCCGAGTCATAGAGAGACAGAGTTTGGGGAGACCTCCGAGTCATAGAGAGACAGAGTTCAGGGAGACCTCCGAGTCATAGAGACAGAGTTCGGGGAGACCTCCGAGTCATAGAGAGACAGATTTCGGGGAGACCTCAGAGTCAGAGAGACAGAGTTCGGGGAGACCTCAGAGTCAGAGAGACAGATTTCGGGGAGACCTCACAGTCATAGAGAGTCAGATTTCGGGGAGACCTCAGAGTCAGAGAGACAGATTTCGGGGAGACCTCAGAGTCATAGAGAGACAGAGTTCGGGGAGACCTCAGAGTCAGAGAGACAGATTTCAGGGAGACCTCACAGTCATAGAGAGACAGATTTCGGGGAGACCTCAGAGTCAGAGAGACAGAGTTCGGGGAGACCTCAGAGTCAGAGAGAGACAGAGTTCAGGGAGACCTCAGAGTCAGAGAGACAGAGTTCGGGGAGACCTCAGAGTCAGAGAGACAGAGTTCGGGGAGACCTCAGAGTCAGAGAGACAGATTTCGGGGAGACCTCACAGTCATAGAGAGTCAGATTTCGGGGAGACCTCAGAGTCAGAGAGACAGATTTCGGGGAGACCTCACAGTCATAGAGAGACAGAGTTCAGGGAGACCTCAGAGTCAGAGAGACAGATTTCGGGGAGACCTCAGAGTCAGAGAGACAGAGTTCAGGGAGACCTCACAGTCATAGAGAGTCAGATTTCGGGGAGACCTCAGAGTCAGAGAGACAGAGTTCGGGGAGACCTCAGAGTCAGAGAGAGACAGAGTTCAGGGAGACCTCAGAGTCAGAGAGACAGAGTTCGGGGAGACCTCAGAGTCAGAGAGACAGAGTTCGGGGAGACCTCAGAGTCAGAGAGACAGAGTTCGGGGAGACCTCAGAGTCAGAGAGACAGATTTCGGGGAGACCTCACAGTCTCAGAGAGTCAGATTTCGGGGAGACCTCAGAGTCAGAGAGACAGAGTTCAGGGAGACCTCAGAGGCAGAGAGACAGAGTTCAGGGAGACCTCAGAGTCAGAGAGACAGAGTTCAGGGAGACCTCAGAGTCAGAGAGACAGAGTTCGGGGAGACCTCACAGTCATAGAGAAGTCAGATTTCGGGGAGACCTCAGTTGCCGAGAGACAGCTCCTTGGCAGAGGCGCCCATAGCTCAGCGAGAGACCTCCAGTCGGAATCAGGATCGCCCGCCGGCAGCAATGGCCACCAGCCCCTCTCCGCTGCCCCTATTGCCCAACCTGAGCTGCGTCATGTGCCACGACGTGCCCCGGGAGCCCGTCACCATGTCCTGCGGCCACTGCCTGTGCAGGGGATGCTTGGAGCGGTCCTGGAGGGGGCAGGAGTCCTACCCGTCGTGCCCCAAATGTCGCCCCCCTCAGGTGCAGTCCCCGGACGGCGGGCAGAGGGGCCTGTGCGGCGAACACGGGGAAAAGGTTCAGTTTTTCTCCACCCAGAACAGCAGGCTGATGTGCCCGCGCTGCAGGGGGTCCGCCGCGGAGCCGCTACCCGGGCATACGCTGATCCCCATCCAGGAGGCCGTGGGAGGATACAAGGTGAGCGGGCCAGACACGCACCACACGTATGCAGAGATACAACTCTACGTGTAGAGCGCACGTGCAACGCAAAGTAGGGCACGCGTCAGCGCGGGGGGTGGCACCCCGCCTCCTCGCCCACGTATGTTATTTATAGATGTGTGTTTCCTTTCCGACAGGAGGAGCTGATCTCGGCCATCGCCCCCCTGGAGTCCCGCCTGAAGGAGCTGCAGCAGATGCAGTGCGCCCAGGAGCAGATGATCGCCCAGCACCGGGTAAGTTGTCCCTCCTCTGGGGTAAACCCCTGGGAGGGCTCGCACACGCACACGCACACACACGGGTGTATAAAAAGCGGCGCTTAGATCTCAACAGCTTTGTATGGATCTGAGCCCTGCGGTATTGTAGGCTATGGGCCGGTGGACACATACTATAAATTGGAAGTCATACGCATGTAAACGCTTGCGCGCCTGTTTACATGCGTATGTCCGTATAAAACTGAGATTAAGACTGACTGAAAGCCTGTGCCATTCAGGGCCAGGGGGGGGAAAGATGTAAACGTGAACAAAGTGCAGGTGGCGGCACAGAATGACCCCGGCCTTCAGTCATTCTGTGCCACCGCCTGCACCTTGCTCGCGGTTACATCCCCCCCC